ACCTCTTCACGGAAGCTCTGAGCGAAAGGAAAGCTGAGCCTCGTGTCTCTGAAACGGGGACGATTCACTAGACCACCCTGGCTTGTGACAGGGACGAATGGAGACGTTACTGGCTCCCGCTCGAGGAAATCAATGATCAATGGGACGACAGAGGATACAGGTGATGCATAACAAAAATCAGAACCATCTTTCGTGAAAATGAGTAGTGAAAGGAGTAGAATTGGTCACTTTCAAAGCTCTGGGCGACTCCTCGGCGTAATGCGAGTAGAGTGATCTCTCACATTTCTGTTAGGAACCTTGTTTTGCAAGGTCTCTTACAAAGCAATGGTGAAGGTGGAGCTACAGCTGCTGAAGCTACGACGGCGAGCGTGGTCATTGGATCTTCATCTGTTCGGAACAACAGCTCTAATCCTGCCTTTCCTTTGGTGGCAGATTTGTCAGCGGAGGCGAAACGCAGTCATTGACATAGGCTATCTGAGTAGAGAAGTAAAATCTAAGAAAAGATTCATCTGACATCAAGAGACAACACCGTAGTGGTTCAGTGGGTGTGAAAATATAAATCACTCAGCTCCCCCTCCCGACTACATATTAGTGCTGGGGCTGAGCAAAGGAAAATCTTTCACTTCCTCGTCAAACCCTAATGAGCATTGTAATACGGAAGAAGTCCTTTTTCGAGTAGTTCATTCGGTTAAGAGCCAACTGTACGGTTACCAGGCTTTCGACCCCACTTAATCTATCCGCTCACAGTCCTCGCCCACCTTCTCATTCACCTCGTGACTGGAGAGGAACGTTTCAAGGTTTCTTTCCCAGTTTTCTTTCTTTCCATTACTTTATCATCCTGTTACTCTTACAAACGTCTATTGCCTGTCTAGTCTGCTTCTTCTCGTCGTCTGCATTTGCCGTGCAGCTTTTTTCGACCATCTGGCCATCTCTACATTCTAGAGGAAGTGTTTATTTCTCAACCAGTCACTTGACACTTTCGAAACGTTATGGATTCATTGTGTAAACGAATTATTTACATGAGTTTTACCTCAAAATAGGTCACCAATGTGTCTGTGATCTATTCTAGCTCGATGGGAGTGTCATCATCACGTTGTTCTCTGTACGCGTTCATTTTCGTTCCTTGACACCTCCTCATTTGCTTTTCTAATTTGGGATGGCAAAATCCGATTTATCCCGTCAATATTTATTGATGAGAGTCAAATGGAGTATACAATTTGGTTCAAACTATTTTATATT